TAGTCTGTGTTAAATAAATTTTTGTTTATTTCATATCCTTTTTTGCTGTCATATATGTGTCTATTTGAAATTTTTATTTAGTCTCTTCATTTTTTGTTGTCATGTATGTTTGCAATCTTTAATTTAAAAAAAACACCACATCTTTCCCAGCTCTAGGGAAACATTTTTCTTTTGGTGTCATTCAAGTGACCGAGAAGGCTTTGTGGACATGAAGCTCTCAACCCTCCCTTCCCACCTCCCAGATAGACAACTAAGGCCATGAATTTTGTGTGCTGCTGAGATTGGTCCAGGTTTTGATAGACAAGAATATCCTTCTTTATTTCATTATTTTAAAAGATGCTGAAGCAAATTAAAATTGTGAGGGATAAGGTCTGGAAACCACGTGTTCTCTACGTTCATGTCAGTATTTAGAATTCCAGTGCCACTTATTTGGAACTTCAGTGCATGAGCCATCCTTCTTTTGCATCCATCCACTAATTATTATCACACTTAGCAACAAGCCTTCCTAGCAAGGAAATTGCTACAGTAATATAAGATGACATGAGACTATTGGTCACTTATAAGGAGCCAATGTTAAGTCTTTAAGCCCTTAATTTTCATTAAAAATTTGCAGATACTACATAGAGAGATTTATCAGGAACTCTGAATATGGGTGGGAAAGTTTTATTCATTCATTTGAAAGATTTTGATTGTGTCCCTGAATGTGTCTGCCTTGCACTGGACACTGAGTATGCATTGGTTAAAAAAAAAATGTCAACCCAGGCATAACCCAGATAGTTATAAATTTAATGAATTAATTGTAATTAGTGCATTGAAAGTAAAGGGGCATAATAAAAATTAACCTACTCTGGTAGGTAGGCCAGGCTTTTCAAAGGTAGATCATGTCCAGAGGGGGATGAGTTTGAGGATCTGAATATTTGGACTGATCAGATTGCCTAGGAGCTGTTTAATGTGCCTTTTTTTTTTTTTTTTTGGTACCAGGGATTGAACTCAGGTTCTTGCACTTGCGAGGCAGGCATTGGAACCACTGAGCTAAATCCCTGGTCCCTAATTTGCTTTTAGAGATAGATTCTTACTATGTAGTTCATGTTTGGCTTGAACTTGCGATGTAGCCCAGGATGGCCTCAAACTCATGGCAATCTTCTTGCTTTTGATTCCAAATGCTGAAGTTACAGGTGTGTGCTGAGATGGTTTTTAAAGCTGGAAAACATTGTGATTTTTAAGAAATGGAAAGAAATGGACACAGGATTCCTTGAGGAAACACTGCAACATTTAAGCAGAGAAATGAGGCAGTTAAAGTTGCTTTGTCCACTTTGTCTGGAAATTGACGACACTGGTTTGAGAATAGCAGCAGAACTTCACCCAGAATGGAGGCTGGCAGTCCAGGGCAACAGTGGCAAATGGAGGGAGATGGGTGACGTCAGATGAATGGTGACCAGGCCTGCAAGTAGATCTGATGTAGGGGTACTGCTGGGAGACAGGTGGGAGAAAGCAACTTGAAGTTTTTTATAGGAAAGTTGGTGTCGATGATAATATACTGAATGAGGAAATACAGAGGAGAAGGAATAAAAGAAGAATCAAGGGAAGCTTGTGAGATTATGCTATTTAAGGGATCAGTGAATCCAACCCTTTCACTTTTGCAGGTGCTTGGGGTCAGAAATAAGACATAACTCCATCGAAGTCCTTTCTCCTTGAAGGATGGAAACTTTTTAGATGTGCAAAGTCTTGTGCCTTTCCTATTCTACTGAATCAGAATGAACACTTTAATAAAATCCCCAAGATTTATATGAATAAAATTGGAGAAATGCTGTTTCATGAAATTAATAAGTTGCATAGTGGAGTAGTACCAAGTTAAACATAGTCTAAACATAAGCTTTTTAATTAAACACTTTCTGTACATATGGGTTAAGAATGATATCCATGTTAAAAAGGTGAGCTTGTGTGTTGCTAGTTTGCCTGACATCTGTGATCCAGAAGATAAGCTGGGAAGGGCATCTTATTGCGTTCCACATCCCTCCTTTCCTTACAAGATCCATAGTTGGTCTTGACTCTCCCTGGGACCAGAAGCAGCCAGAGCAGTAGTAGGTGCTGGGGCCGGTAGCAGGGGCTGCATCTTGAGCTACAGTCGTTTCTGATCTGCTGGGCCAAGAGTGGGGCACTGTTTGAAATTGGCCTTGATCCCAGCAGGACAGAGTTAGACCCTGGGTTTACTAAGGTGTTGCTGTGCCTCTGCAGTGCCAGAGACAGGGCATGACAGAAGTAGTGACTGCCAACTCTGGCCGTCAGAACTCTCAGGTATGGAAACCCAGGAACTCCTAATTCCCGGTCCATGTGTAAGGTAGCCAAGAGGCACTCACCTTCATGCATCTCCCTCCGAGTCAGTGTGCAGACCCTACTCTCTGGACACATCTCTACAAACCCCTGCATTTTTCTGGGGCCAGAAGGAATACTCACAAACCTATGCTGTCCTGTGTACTATGTTTTCACTGTGTGTTGGTGCCACCTCTTCCCACTAGCTGTTGTGCTTCAGCTAGGACAGATGGCATATATGAGGGAACTCCTCGAAGGTGTAGTGGGATCTGCAGTGCCCTCTCCAATAGTTCTCTTATCAGTAAGTGCTGGCTCTTAGCCCCAGCTGATTTGCTGCCGTTGTGCAAACCCTGCACTGGGGCACTCCAGCAGGAACAGCTGTGGCACTGGGCTGGGGACAAGAAAAGAGCAGGCAGAAGTGGTAAGAGTACCATAGTAGACACCAGCCCTGCCCTGGGTGCAACCCAAATCTGTCTTTATTTCCTAAATACTTTGTGAACTTCCCCATGTGGACACTGTGTCCTATAGTTGACTCTTTCCTGCTCTCACACTGCCACTGCATGGCCTCCCATCATTGTGAATTGTGACCTGGTCTCAGTTTGTAGTTTCTTATTAAATTGGCCCCTTCATTCTCTCTAAACAAAAAGGCAACTTTAGGACTGCTGCACTTTGGGAACACTTTACTCGGTGGACAAAGGTATATTAAGGAAGGGAGGGAGGAAGAGAAGAAAGAAGGAAAAGAAGAATGGAAGGAAGGAAAAGAAAGGAAGGAAGAAAAAAGAAAGGGAAAGAAGGAAAGAAAGAGAAAGAAAGAAAGAAAAGGAAGAAAAGAAAAGGACCTTTAATTGCTGTGCATGCAATATATTATCCACAATTTGTGAAAACGGGTTGAGAAAAAGCTGGTAATGTCAATTTGGCTTACATATTGTAGGCATATGCTTCAACATATTCTTTGAAAAAGAATCAAACTCCCAAATAACTTTTTCTTACATGAGTTTCTTTTTAAGGAAGGGATATTGGTAATGACTATGGATTTCTAACAGTCACTTTAAAAAAAGGAAAAGGAAAGAAAAGAAAAGAAAAGAAAAGAAAAACAGTGCTATAAAAACTTCACAGGAAGAAATTTCTTTTGTTTGTTTTTGTTATTTATTAAGCCCTACTGGGTGGGAATTACAGCTAAATGCTATGCCATTACCAATGTGTCTGGCATATTGTTGGTGCTCAAGTGTCAATCTTAGTACAGGTGTAGAGTTGGGAAACTGCAAGTATAGTGTAGATCATCTGTTTTGAATAACAAACTATCTCAAAAGTTAATGACTTAGTATAGCACTTCTTGTCTCACAGTTTCAGCAGTTCAGGAATCAGAGTTTGACTTAATTAGTTACCTCTGATTTAAAGTCTTCAGGAGGTTCTATCACAGACCACATGGGGCTGTAGTAACATCTAACGGCTCAACTTAGGGGCTTGGTCTGCTTCTAGGCTCAGTCATGTGGTTGCTGGCAAGCCTCAGTTGATTGCCATATGGATCTCTTCAAACCTAGAGTGAGCAGTCCGAGACACAGAAAAAGTATGCCAAGGGCAGGAGCCACAGTCTTTTTATAACCTAACACCAGACTTGATTTTCAACCTCATCCCTTCTGACATAATCTATTTTTAGAAGCAATTAATGAAGTTCAGCCCACATTCAAGGGAAGGTGATGACATAAGGATGTGGATACTTAGAAGTGGAAACTAGGAGGTTTGTCTTAGAAGCTGCCTATCACACTATTGTTTCCTTCTTCATTTTGGCTCTTATCAGACATTTAATAGTTACTTCTTTTGAACTTTTCTCAGACCAGCTCAGGGCATTGGATTGTACTCTAATGCTCAGAGGAGAGACTGCAGTAAGCTATTTTAGATGGGATAAGTGCAGCAATGCCAGAAAGGCTGTTGATATGAGTTGCAAGTGGTGTGGATGCGGATGGGGGGAGGAAGCGAGTGACGATAGGCCACCTCTCATAATCCATGGTCTCGCTCTCCATGAGAAGGCCTTCTCTTTTCATCTCTTCCTCCCTTGCTACCTTCAGACTTCAATAAAATCTATATTCAGCAAAGCCTCTTCTTGCCTAAGACCACTCCCTGCATTTCTTAAGGTCCAGCTTGGACTTTGCCAGGCCTTGTTTTTCTCTTGCCTGCATTCCCCTTGTTCTTGCTGACTGTGAGCCTGAGCTGCGTCAGGCCCTGGATAGGTATGAAGGACAACCACTGAAAGCCAAAGACACCTGACTTCTGCGCTCCACTCTCTTTTGGAAAGATAGATCCTAATCAAAAGAGCACACCAAGAAATGCATCACTGCTACAATGGCCCAGTGGCGGGGACTTCAAACCGTGTCTGGGTTGAGGCACACACACTGAGGAAGGGACATTTGTGCAGAGTTTTGAGAGGGGAGCAGAATTAGTCGGGCAGAGCGAGACCAGGATAAGGTGGCTGGTGGCTTGAGCAAGGAGGGAAAGAAGGCATACGAGGCGGGAATGGAGATGCAAGGAGAGCTCCAGCTGAGATACAGACCCAGTCTAACATAGACACGTAAGGAAATCACCTAGAGTGTGTTATAGAGAAACAGAAGTAGGAGATCAGAGACACCCACAATTCAAGGTGGCTTGGAAGCAGAATATGGAATTCCAGCATCTGGGAATTCCAAGAGTAAGCTAGAATGTGGAAGAGCTCAATGTTGGGAGCCTCTGGTTCTGAAGGGAAGCTTGGGAGGTGAAGTGAGTGACAAACGTTCACCCATGTTCCTCCCTCACCCCTTTCCTCCACCCTCGCAGACTTGGGTCTCACTTTTTTCCTCTGCATCAATACCTGTATCACCATGTTCATATACCTTGTTCTGGGGCTCCCAAAGCACTTCCTCCTTTCCACCAGGCTCTTCTCTCCCTGCCCTATACTTTACTACAGGCTGGGCTCTGCTCATCACTTCCTACTGCTGTCTTCTTTATGCTCTGAACAGACTGAGCTTGTTTCTAGCACAGGACCTTTACACTTACTTTCCCCCTGCCTGGAATGCTCCTGCCTCTTCTCCAAGTGCCACCATCGCAGGGTGAGACCTACCGCTTCATTTGGGGGTGGGGGGGAGTGATGAAAAAGAAAAATAGAAGTCCCCTATCTAAAAAGCAGCTTGTTCTTTCCTTCTGCAGTCTTGGGGCCAATGTTGGCATTTATAGACTCCCAGGACCACACTTATCCTGCCCTGGCATTGAAGCCTTTGACAGAAGACAGCAGCAGGTGCTCGGTAGGCAGCGTGTGGCCAAGAACTTGTCCTGGGGCATCAAGGAGCATGTTCCATTGTCCTGTCAGATGTCACTTGTAAAGCACACATAAAAGAGAAAATTATTAACAATTTCGTAGTATTAATCTCCAAGTACAAAACTCCTTTCGAGCATGGAGCCTTATGGGATTGCACTGGCTGAACTCCCATGAAGCCAGTCCTGTCTCAGGACCTGATCCAATCCCTGAATCCAAAGTGGACCCTTCCTGTCACCTTACACAAGCCACACCCTCTTACATCAGCTCGTTTCGTGTGCCTTGGAGCAACATTATATTTTGAAAGTTTCCCTTTAATCTGTTGTCTGTTGTCTGCCTCCATCAGGAGAATGTAAACTTTGTGCAAGCTTGTCCTAATTATCTCCATGCCTGGTGTAGGAGCTGGTATGTGTAGATCATCAATAAATATTTGTTGAATGAATAAATATAAAAGGGAATTTATTAGGCACAACTTTAGGTAAACCTGCTATCTCTCCTAGCTCACAGAAACTGACATTGTAACAAAACCTTTTCAGCTAATGGCTTTTCTGTCTTGATTTTGAGATTACCAGCCCCAACCTGGATGTTCTTGCTCATGTCAAACTATCTAAAGGCCAGTTCTAGATTTACCTTGGCCTTGAAACTTGTCCCTGGGGTGCTGCAGTTCCTGGGTGTTTTGCCTTTTTGCTTCCCACTGTGTTGTATCATTGCATGATTCCTTGAGCTGAGTCGTGGGAGTGTAGCAAGGCCTGGGCTCCAGGAGACACATTCCCTAATAGTTCATCAATGGCTCAACTTCTTGGAACTCTTGTCCTTCCTCCTCTGTCTTTTTGCCTTTCTGAGGCATTCAGATAGATTACAGTTATGGCAGTGACTTCCTATGGAGCTGAGCAATCGCTACTGGCCTGCAGTTAGGTTAGGTTTTTGGAAATCCCCAGGGATGAGATCTCTTGTTCCCAGGAGTGAATCTGGGCACTATTACATCAGTGAATTCTAAAGAGCTTGCATATTCTAGATTTTAAAATTTACATATATAGCATTAAACACATTCATTATGTGCAACAAATAGACAACGAGCAGAGCAGAGGCTGGAAGCTTTGTTAATTAGGCAGCACTTTTTCACTAAAAACTGAAGTAGTGTAAGGTCCTTACTAGGAAGGGGGGTGTGGGGGGGTGGATTTAAAATTTTTTTTCATTAAGTTTATCAGTACCTTTTAGGTATACAGTACAATTACATTCATCATTGGGATCTTGTACCTTTACATGATATATCTCTGTTCTTAATTTTTTCCCCATTCCCCTGCCCTCCCTTCATCCCTTCCAACCTTCCCTATTTACAAAGACTTTGTTTCCATTTTTTCCTTTTCTTATATTTTTTCTTTTCCCTTCTTTTCTTTCCCCTACCTCTTCCACTTCCCCTACTCCTTTAGACCTTTTATAAAATGGAATACTACTCAGCCATAAAGAATGAGAAACTAGAGACATTTATAGCTAAATGGACGCACATTGAGGCCATACTCATAAGTGAATTAAATAGGATGTCTATGTGTAAATATTGAATGGTTCTCTGGTATGGAAAACTAAAAGTATAAATAAGGTTCAAAATGTATAGATGATAATGTGAAATAGGAAGAAAGGTCTGAAAATGGTTCTTAACAGATCTACTACAGAAATTCAACAAACTGACCCAGAGATGAACTAGTAATCCTCTGATTTTTATAAAGCCATTTGGATTTCATGTTTTCTAACAAAATTAGTGAGAGTTTTGGGAAATTCCCACATCATGTTTATGTTGCATACTTCAATTTAAACTACAGTTCAGGCCTTCTTTGGTGAGTGCCCTATTTGACAAGGCATATGAACATATATTGTCTTGTCATGCATAAATACACTCTTTTCTAATTTGTTGTTGGAATAAATATTAGTGGTTTCTAATTTTCTTGAAGTAATTTGTCTATTTCCTATTAAGTATAAGAGTGAAATGTAATAGGGAAGGGTGGAGGGGGTGAAGGGAGGTCAGGGGAATGGGGAAAGAATGAGAACCAAGACCTGTCATGTAAAGGTACAAGGTCCCAACGATGAATGTAACTGTACTGTATACCTAAAATGTACCAATAAACTCAATGAGAAAAAATTGGAATGTATAATATATGTATAAATGTGTGGCTGCCTTTTTTAAAAATTAAGGTTTTCAAAAAACCAACAACTGGTTTTATTATTTTCTAATTCTTTGATTTTTCTTTTTGTCTGTATATGTATTACTGCTTTCTACTGTGGGCAAAACTCAATGAAAAAATTGGAATGTATAATATATGTATAAATGTGTGGCTGCCTTTTTTAAAAATTAAGGTTTTCAAAAAACCAACAACTGGTTTTATTATTTTCTAATTCTTTGATTTTTCTTTTTGTCTGTATATGTATTACTGCTTTCTACTGTGGGCTTAATTTTCTCTTTTTACTCTAGCTTTCTAAGATAGAAGCTGGGATAATAAGTGTTCAAACCATTTTTTTTTCTTTTTCTTTTTAAATAAGTTATTGAAGTGAATTCATTTCTCTCTCAGGACTGTATAAACTGCATCCTACAAATTTTGACATGTTAAGTTTGTATTATCATTAGGGTTTGTTTTTTTTTTTCTCTGTACTGGGGATTGAACTCAAGACCTTGAGCTTGTGAAGCAGGTGGCAGAATTGAAAGATTTTCTAATTCCCTAATTGTTTCTTCCTTTTAAAAAATCTGTATTATTTCAAAATATATGCTTTATTTCCAAATAGTTGGATATTTTCTAGATAGCTCTTTTAAAAACATCTCTTTATTACTGATTTCTAATTCAATTACATTGTGGTCGAATTCCAATCCACTCAAGTTTACTGAAACTTGTCTTCTTGTCTAGAATAAAATACACATTTTCAGTTAACTGCCTCATCACTTTCTATCTTTCAATCACACTTCACGTTTCTCTCTCCCACTTAAACTCAGCCTGGAGATTAGAGATAATATGCATGCTCAGAATAGGAACAAATAACACTGGAAAGATCTGTTTACTTTGCAATTAACAAAGATTGGCAGGCCTCTTCTCAAATGTTTCCTCCAGGGCACAGATTTAAAATGTTCTCTCCTGAAATCAGGTGATGAATATAAGAAAAATGTGGTTACTTCTGCGTGTGCTTTTCAGTAAGTTACTTCTCAGCAGCAAGAGGCACCGGCTACATCTCAAGCGTTGGGTTTGTTTCCATCACTCAATATTTCAGTGTCTGTGTCATATTCCATCACCATTTCCAGTTCTTTGGAACTCCCAGTGTTTCACAATCTTGGATGTGGCAGACACTCAGGAGATTCTGTTTAACTGAATGATGAACAGATACTGAGTATCCTCTGGCAGTGAAATCAGAAACGGTGGCACTGAGAAAACAAAGTTATGGGAGTGGACATTCCCTATGAGATCCCGAGTGGCTGTCTTTATTGAAATGGGTACATTGGATACTGCCAAGTCACTCAGTTGGGCATTCTTCAACACTGGCACTTTTATAAAAATAGTGTTTCCTTTTAAAAAAATACATTTGACCCTAAAATCGAGTTCCAAAATTTTAACATAAACGTAGGAGGAAGCTTTATTTATGAATGAAAAGGCTGAGCACTGTAAAATACACCAAAAGGCAGATTGGATGGGAGGTGGTGGAGTGAAATAGGGAGCTTTCTCTTTGGGGGGATGTCTGATATACATTGGTTGAATTAAGAGAAATGCCTTCAAGATAGTTTTATCTTTGTGATTAAATTTAATCTTGCATGGAGAATGTTGTGCCAATTACATTGCTATGATTTTGTTTATCAGATTCCAGAAGAATGCATTGATTCAGTAAATTTGACTTTTGAATGAATCGACATCATATAGCAGAAGTACTGAAAATATAAGTTGTTCTGTAGTTATTTATTTCAGTGTCGTACTGAGCCTAGCATGTGTTCTTATATATAGTAGATCATCACTGACTATCTCTTAGAGTCAACAGATATTCTTATAGAGCTGGATTGGAAAACACAATAAAGTCTTGCTGTTGTGAATGCTCATTTTTAAAATTAAATTCACTTAAACTGAGAATCAATAGCTAAAGAATTATTTTTTACTCTTTATTAAATTTTTAGAAGTTTTCATTTCCCTGGTATTTTTCTTTTGTACTCACCAGTTACTATTTCCTGTGCACCTCACTGACCCTCACGACTCTACTCAAAACCTCACACCCTGTCTTATCAGTGATCTCCCTGAGGGACCCCTGTGCCTTTTTTCTCTGGGACCCCAGTGACAGAGCAGAGTCGGGGTCTTATGGGTGTGTTAGGTCAGATTCCCAGGAAGGAGACTCTGAGCAGATCTTACATGTAGCAGGTGTTCAAGGGAGATCTCTTGGGGGAAAATAAGGAGCGAGACCCCATGCTGCCACAACTCCTAACCCAGGTCCTACTCATCTGACTAGACTC